GACTGCCTCTTGGTCCAAGTATAGATTTCGCATTAAATGTTCACGATTAAATGTTCTGGGATTCCCATTCTTCTCAGAGTCAGCCACAGTTTGTTATCATCCACACAGTCAAACGCCTTTGCATAATCAATGAAACACAGATAGACATTCTTCTGGTATTCCCTGCTTTCAGCTATACACCAAGAGGAATTATTTATTATTTAGTACGCCACCAGGAGTTACTCCATATCCAGAATGGTGGGTGGGGATGGCAGGGGAACACAGAATAAATAATTTAATATTTGCTGGAAGAAAATTTTCCAAACATGAAAATGAGAAAATTTGCATTCAAAAGACTGAGTGAACTCCAGACAGAAGATCCAAAAATAAAACCCCAAAACATATCATAGTTAAACTTTCCTATATTAAAGACAAAGAATACTCAATACCTCTCAGGAAAATGGGAAAATTACCTACAAAAGAGAACTAAGACTATGGTCCAGTTTCTCAGTAGACACCATGCAGGCAAGAAGGCACATAAAACCCTGAATGAAAAAAATTGCCAACCAAGAGTTCTTTTTCCCAGCAAAATTGCTCAATTACTATGGAAATATTAGGACATTTTCACATTAATAGAAACTACAGAAATTTCTAAAAACTAGACCAACCTTGCAAGAAATTCTAGAGAGAGTTCTTTGGACCAATAGCCAACACAACAAAAACCAATTTGAAACTAACCTACAGGACATCATTCTGAAACTGACCCAGACACAGAAATGCATAAAATATAATTGTTGTAGTCAGTGGCACCTAATAACAACAACAAACACCTCTCACTTTTCATTGTAGTAGAGTTGGAACTGACTTTAACTGACCCTCCAACTGGTTTCTTTTTTTTTTTTTACACAGTTATCATTTTCCTACATTCATGCTTCTCACATTCCACGTTCCAATCACTACTGTCTGCTTACAGCTGTTCTTTCGTCTCTGTATTTCCATTTCTAAGATCTCAGTCTCAATTGCAATGTCTGCTAGTCCAAGCGATAGTCCAAGTATGCTCTATTGTACATAAGGTTTTTGAAGTCCTGTTACTTCAGAAGTGGATGGCCAGTCCTTCTTCCTAGTCTAAGGTTTTTCTTTTCTTTTTTTTTTTTTTAATTACATTCATTCATTCATTATTGCATTTTTCTCCCCACCCACTTACCCCCACCCCCAGTTCGCTCCTCTCCTTGAAAAGCAAAAGAAAAACTCCTTCACTGGTACACAGTCCCCCACCCCCACCCCACCCATCCCTGCTTCCACCCCAAGTATACTCCACTCTGCAACCCTCATTCCGGACTCTTATGATATGTCTAAGTTTTAAAATATAGTTAATAGTATATGAAAGACATTTGCCCAGTTATAAAAATGACCAATAGATTCAATGTTGCTGCTCATCCCTGCTACATGTTGGTGGTTTTTTGTTTTGTTTTTTT